GCATTTTTTGTTGAGAAGGAGAGTCGATAAACTACGACTTATTGGATGAAAACAATTTTTAGATTGTAAAAAATTAAATCAAATTATAGTGCAAGTAAAACGGACGAATTACCGACTTTCATCATCTAATCTCGTTTTGACTAAGACACGAAATATGCAGATTCATAAGAAGTTCAAAATTTTAAAGTTTAAAATAATACGTTGACGCGGTCGAAATAATATTGACTTCAAGTATACAAATGGAACTAAGAATGTAATAAATATTTGACTTTAATTAATAAAAAAAGTGTCCATGGAGCTTGTATTGATAATTTTACTTCATTTCATTTTATGCAAATATCAGCTAAATAACTAAGTCAAAATAACCAAATTTTATCGATAAGTTTGAATTGTAAATTTAATAGGTGTTCAGTGAACAAAACCAACTATTCATTGCGCAAATTCAAGTAAGCGTACAAGTGTTTTATCTTCATATCTTCATACAAAATTGAAAACAGTATTGTGCTCAATGTTCGAGATTTTACAAAATTTATCATCTTTACTAGGCAGTCCTCGAAGACAATTTTAAGAGCTATTGGCATTTTTTTACGGCGACAGCTTGCAATTTGTATTATTAAAATTTTTGTTAATTCATTAATTCGCGAAACCACGCAAGCAGTTTTTTCAACCATTGCCTTCGTCCCATCTGTAAAAATATCAATACAGTTATCCGAAATCAATTTTTTCAATTTTGAATATATAAGTGGATAAGTATAAGTGGATTAAGTCGGACATAATAAGAGGTATTTCCTAAACAAAAGTTTAATATTTATACCTAACAAATACAGCTAATCCAGCAAGTTCAGTAAATGTGTCCATTTGGAAAGAAAAGTTATTACATTTATGAGGATATTTTAATTCACATTTTATGTAAAATGATTCATCGTTAAATCCACGCTTCTAACTATATCGTTGGGAAGTGAAATGGTATTAATTTGTTTAACTGACTTTACATATAACATTCAACTAACAATATCAGTCACACAAGGTTTAATGAAAGTTTCAAAGATTGTGTGAGCTTTACCAGCCTGAACTAGACGATAACTGACCATGTAAGATGCTTTTGTTGCTATTTCGTTTACTGTTTTTGATAGATCAGCTAAAAAGATCGTATTCGTTATTTGTTGATGAAGCATTCCAAAAAAAATCCAAAAGGAATTGTCCCTCATATATTTATGGTAAGTTTCAAGATACCGACACAATTTGGCGTATTTTTGGATGGTGTATATGTAACAAGTAATGGCGGAAGAAATTATAAAAGCTACTTGGGTATTAAAAAAACATACTACATTATAGTGCAAGTAAAACGGACGAAATACCGACTTTCATCATCTAATCTCGTTTTGACTACGACACAAAATATGCAGATTCATAAGTAGTTCAAAATTTTAAAGTTTAAAATAATACGTTGGCGCGGTCGAAATAATATTGAATTCAAGTATACAAATGGAACTAAGAATGTAATAAATGATTGACTTTAATTAATAAAAAAAGTGTCCATGGAGCCACGGAGCTCATAGACTACTATCGCAGGGCCGAATTTATTTAATATTCTTCAATTTATTTCTATCTATGAGTATTTCGTCCCATTTTCCTGTAACCGAATTTTTTTATTCATTACATTATTTTATATAAACAATTAATGTCCGATTAATCTATTTACTATCGAAAAGGTACTAAGTATTTACCTTTATAAATTTAAAAACATTATGCCAAATAGAGTTGTTCATATCGATTTATATAAGTGAAATTTTAATAATGAATTTTTAAAATCCCCTTTAAATTCTTCTGTGCAGTACCACTTAATCAACACGTTGTTCGACGAAATACACGAATAAAAACGTGTAAGATTGACGAAAAAATATATTAAACGATAAATAAGTATTCATACTTTATCATTTGTTTGATTTCTTAAACAAGTCGCTTGAAAGATAATTATTGAATATTCAGTCAAGTAATAATTATGTCTGACTCCTTTATTTAATAAAATTGAATAAAATTATGTACGTTATAGTAATTCGCTTTATTTTTTTATCCATAGAGAAAAGAATAAAGGAATGTAACGGTAGGATATCAATATAAATATTTTACTTTAAACAATTTAATTATCGAACAAAACAATCATTATCAATGTTACATTATGGACGGCTGTTAAAATATACATTTAAATTTTGTTTTCCGTAGATCAATTATTACTATTTTATCATAGTAAGTGTACGGTTTTTATTAAAGCTTATAAACAGTAGGTAATATGTAACGTTTAAGTCCTGTGGTTCCTTAAGCATCCAATTTACTTATTTTTTAATTTGTGATAAATCAACGAATTTCAAAAAGCTTTCCTATTTACATAATATAATTTCATATAATTTTAAACAACATTTCAGCTCAATTTGAAATGCTCTTTATTGAATTTATTAATTTTAAATCTATATATATATATGAGTATTTAAATAGGTGGTTAGACTTTCATTATTATTATAATTTCAGCGAATTAATTGAGATTATATTTACATATATGTTATACACTATATATTATTTAAGTTTTTAAATTAACGTCGTTCTTAATAAAACCATATAAATATTTTTTCATTATTCATAACCATGTGTGTATTTTTGGTTTGTATACTGGTAGAAATGCGAGATTTTTTTATTTTTAGGTGAAGATCCTATTCAAAATTTAAAATTCGGATTCAAGTTTTTAAGTAAGCAAATCTGACATTTTATAATATTCAAACAATCTTGATTTATATATTTAAGTGGGATATAATTCCTGGATGGACTAAATTTCGAAACAAATTTATAAAACAATATAATTATTTCTGTGAGATATTATTTTCTATTAAATAAGAAAGATTATTTAATATTGTAATAATTCCGGAAATAAAAAAGATTACGTTTTTTTTTTTTTTTTTATATATATTACTTGAAGAATAACGAACTATTAAATTTTTAAAAAAATTACAAAGAAAAAATTGGTGATCGGTATACAAAAAAATAAAAGTTTTATTTTATCGTTTGGGTTTTTATCAAATCATTAATATTTTATTCGATCGTAAGCTATGATACATTAAGTATATATTTTAATTTTGTATTGTAATAAAAGTATTTCAACCCAACTTACAGGCATCAAAACATTGAAGTCATACAGTAAGTTGTTTTTTTTTATATATTAGGGAACATTCGATTGGAATCGTATATTCATTGAAAATGGCTTATAATCTATTTAAACTCGTTTAAAATCAAAAAAAAAAAGAGACAGCAGTACAAATATTTTTAAAACAAATTTTGTAATTCGTTGCGTTGTTGTAAAATAAATAGCGTTCATAAATCATTTTTTTTTTTTTTTTGTTTAATAATTTTAAAATAATTTAATTATTTAAATGAATTCAATTTATACATTGTAACCACAAACAGAAATGCATCTGAATTACTATATTTTTCAGATTACGCATTGCAATATTTTATGTCTCTTATTAGCGATGAAATGTTTAAGAGTAAGTATTGTTGTAAACATATAAATAGTACTACTACGGAACGTAGATTTTAACAGATAAGCGACGATTTTCACACATTATTCGTATACCCTGGTTAATAACATTATACATTTTTTAGCAAAATTTTAGCGTTAGTGTTTTATTACCAATTTTGGGTTATAGAGTTCCTGGGTTACTGAACATACCGAATTCTATATATATGTCAACTCATTGAGCCTGGCATAAAACCTTTATTAGCTAAACTGTATAAAAATATCAATAAAAATTGTTTTTGAATTTTTATTTGTCCAATTCACTGTCACTATGTTAATAACTGTTGATATGTAAGTAAGTATAGATTATGGATTTTGACAATGAAAATATGTATAATATTATATTATCTTAAAAACTTATGTTTTGATTATAATATTTCATACAAGATAATATAGTAACCCGTTTAATTTTTCTAGCTACAGATGAATTCAAAACTTTTAAGGAATGGTGCACAACCGCTTTTGGATCTGATGATGAAAGTTAGTGAGATGAATAATTATTGTATTTATCGAATTTGAAATATTATTTGTTAACGACACAAACCTTTGTACATCAACCAAGGCAGTTTTTTCGTATTTCGTACACCAAATATACATCTTTTTATGAGATATGAGCAATGAATGAAATATAGGAAATTAAATGGTAGGAGCAGGAATTAAAAATTGCCACTTCCAACACACATATCCTGGATACTAACACCAATATGCTCCGAACATATATCCATGGTATAATTCTAATTTTGTATGATCTGTACAAAACTAAAAAAAACCCTCTTTTCACGGCAATGCTGAAATAATTCCAAATGTTATTATTTCGATTTCGTTTAAAAAAAAAAAACGATTCTCGAGTTTGGGATAATTTAGTACGGATGGAGCCATAAAAAGTGTACACAAGTAGTGGGTATAGTATATTCAAACACTTATGTATAATGAACGAATGTGAAGTTTGAGGTTCGGTTAAACTTGTTTTTAAATGCCGTAAATTAACAATAATTTATTAATAATTAATGTGTATAAATTATATTATAACTTATACCAGTTCTACCTACACATTGATATACTCTTGGAAGTAAATACTTTTTTAAAATTATTGTTCATTCTTTTTTAGTTAACCGATGTCAAGGTAAGACAATTTTTTGCGTCTGCTAACAACTTATTTGGTGATTACCAGTATTAGGTAAGTGTATACACAAACGTCATTTTATACCCATAATATTTTTAAAGAAAAATACTTATTGAAATTAATGAATAGTCTAATATGAAATAACGATAATGAATATGAAATATATAGAAACAATGAGTCGAACAGTCAAACAGTCGATTAAGTCGGCCTCGATATGTGTAGAAATCCTTACCATTAATGATTTTAATTGAGTACCAAATAATTAAAGAGTTTTAAAATACACCTTTTAATTATTGCTGTTATTTTTTTAACAGACAATATAAAATACCTTGGTTTTTCATGTAAGTATTTGTATTTGAATATTTTTCTAATTCATAAGTTTTTGTTTTTATTGTGAATTAAAGTGCATGATACACATTGTTAGCACATGATGTATCTTTGATAAAAATAATCAGTAATAAGTTCAATATAGTCATGTATAATGCCAAGTAATACACGAAGGAAACAGATTAATGATAGGTATAATCAAAACTAAGTATGAGTTTAAAGGAATAAGATAAGAAAGATAACGGAAGTAAGCGGTGTCGTTATTCATGTGTATAAAAGTATGAAGTACATAGAATTATTTAAAAAAAAAAAAATATATATAGCTTTGATAAGTTTGTGGAATTTAATTTTAAGTATAGTGGGATAAAATTAACTGAAGCGTCAGATGGTTTATGTAATAATAAAATTTCAATGAAATTTAAAGTTAGGTTCTACAATTTTTTGTAAGACTGTCCATTTTTTATGGTTCGGAGGTTTAGGTAGAAAAGTAGAACAGATAGTGAGTCTACCAATGATAATAATGGCTTACAATACTTATTTACCAATATATGAACTAGAATAATCGACTACGTCTATTTGTCAGACAAATAAATCTTTATAATTATTATCATAACAACTGTTTATAAACAATATTTCAATTTAATTTAATAATAAATAATAATTATTTAATATATAAATTTAAATACACCTAATTTGTACAATATTTTAACCCCACAGCTCGATTGTGTAGTCACAACATTTTTTTTTTTATAGTGGTGAAGCGCAGTGGATTATCATCTTTTGTATGGCTATATTTGAATTACGGTAAGTAAAGAAAATTCGTTACAATTTCCCTTCATGTACCATGATCATAAATAAGTACAGGTGTAGGTTCTAGCAAATATATAATATTTTCATGTTCACCAGATTTTATTCCTCGATGTAACATACAAGCATACCGACAAGACCTATATGTACCGTCCATAAAAGAATCCTTATTTATACTCCTAAAAACATTGACAGACTAAACCCATTTGTATGGCCATGTAAAATAGAATAAAACACATGCTTGCTATCTGTTATGAAACCCAAATATATATGGATGTAGTTCTCATAACTCATAGCCTTCGAAAGACCACAATGTTCCATAATAATGTTCTCATTGAAATTTACATAATTTGTAACTTAAAAAAAAAATTAAAAAGCCCTCCAAAGATAATATGGATGGGTGCAGCTATTGTAATAGGTAATTTAATGTATATATGTAGGCAACGATAAATATTTGCTTAACGAATAAACGATTCTGATCTGAGTATAGTTGACAATGATTAGCATTTGATGAGAAAACTTTTTAGAAAATCAAAAAACTACTATCTGGGTACTTTAAGGAGTACCTTCACAGTGAGAGTTAATTTTAGAAAAATTGCTATCATTTTAAATAACTAAGAAAATGGTTTCATCAGAAAAAAAAAATGCCTTATATTTTAATAATATATTTCTTCATAGTCTGACACCCTTTAGTAACTCGCCATACCTATTTCCTCTCATTAAAAGTGCTACACGGAAAAATCGGATCGTGTTCTCTGGTAATTTCAACCAGAGTCCACAGAAAAAAAAAAATAAACAACATCCTTATTGAACCATAATTAAGACTATAATACTAAATTTGCTGTTTTACAATAAATTAAAAGAATAAAAAATCATCATAGAAATATCATTGTACCTAATTCTACAAGATAGTAAGGCATATTACCAAATCTACATAAATATTAAAAATACTACACAATCATTGTGAAGAACATTATACAGTAATAAAGCCGATACCTATTTACACGAAATCACGTGCATATTTGCTTATAAATTTGTTTTCATTTAATAAGTTAGTAAATTAGGAAAACTTTTAATATTAATACGATAATGATTTACAGTTTACGTATATAGACAAGCAATACTAACAATATGCACTAAAATTAGTGTAAATGAATCATTATATAATACATGTTACAAGACCTACTCCAGGTATACGGTGATGTGTATTATACTACTTTTGCTTTTTAATTTTTTTTCAAATTGTTGTTGTATTCCGTATACAGCAGTACCGATACAAAACCAAAATAGGCAAAAGCTTCCAAAAGTGTCATTTATATTTTTCAGTTGAAGAAGAATTGTTAACAAACGCAAGTTTTCGTAAGTTTTATCTATAAGAATTTGTTTAAAGAACTCGCTTAGTTATATTATATAGATACACAAATAATTAACTTTAATGGACTTATTATTCGGTTTCAGACTATATAATTCAATAATACATATTAGGTAGTTTTAAATAATAAAAGAGCTGATATTAGGGACGATGCATCTCTCTTGTATAAAGTTATTTAATTTAAACCTAAAAGCGACGATGCTATTGCTAACGATAAACGTTTCGGAATAATTTAAGGTAATACATGCTTTGAAAGGTTGTAATATTTACGATTTTTATTCAAACAAATTGTAATTATTTCTGTTTTAGTCTTACAATTTCGCCAACTGATTTTCTACCAATTAAAATTTAACTAAATACTCTGAATATTGAATTCTCTATAAATACCTCAAAAATAGCTTAAATATTTTTAAAATTTTAAAACGTCTAGGAAAATTAAAGTTGAGTTTTGTGTAGAAATTTCCAGACTACGATAACTTTGCTCTAAACTATAATATAAAAAAAAAATTGAAAAACAAGAGTTAATACTGTTGATGGGTGTAACCATTGTAGCCAGAGGAGCAAAATAGAGAAGTATAAACTATTATTGTAAAATTAATCCTATATTTTTTTTTTTCTAGGATTTATGTATATTATAAAGAATCCGGAAACTCGTGAAGAAATGAGTAAAAAATTAAAATTATTGGACCAAATGTTGAATGGTTTAGATGGTAATTATAAAATGTTAATCACCTTTGTTATCATGCTTCACAAATGTGCAGAGAACTAGAAAATTTTTAACAATTTAAAACATTTTAATCAATACACTATTGTACCCAAAATGAATGTCGAAAACTTGTTTGTAAGTTTTCTATTGGTACCTTTAGGTTATTAATTATTTGTTCATACTTTTTTTTTACTGTTCTATATAAAGATCCTAAAATGATCTGGAATTCCGTAAACGAAAATCGCAATTCGATTTCTCTTGACTCTGTCACTAGCTCATACGAACAAGAGATCCTTAACCTGTTTTTTGAACATTTTTCACCTGTAATACTCTTTCAACCTGATTGATGTTAACTTGTTGTCCTTAAAAATACTTTCCTTTGATTTCATTTACCGAACAATTGCATCTTCTCTTCCAATGAGAGTCTCTGAAAACAAGATAAAAATTGTTATCTACGTTCAATATGTGTTTCTTATCCGTAGATCTCATGANTGGAAAATTAGAACCATCTTTTATATATAAAAGTCCGATTGTCGTTTCTGATGACTTACAAATCCATATTCTGAGCTATATTTCAAAAATACTTGAATTTTTCGTCTTATCCGGACCTTAGTCAACCCAATTTTAATCAATAAAAATCCCGGATTTTATCCGGGCCTTTCTAATACTACATGTAACTATTGTTATTTATACTACATTCTTAATGCTTTTGGTGAAGGTAAACTAATGGAGGTAATTTATGTGGACTTTGCTGCGGTTTTGGACTCGGTTTACCGTAAGGTCTAAATTGTTAATTTGAAAGCATCAGGTTTTAGTGACCTTTTTATATCCTGGCTCAATTATTTTTCATTTATCGCTGGGAATGGGTAAATTTATAAAAAATCAAGTCCGAATTAATTCCCTATCAATCATCGTCCCTCAATGGTGTCATCTGCACTCTTTACTTTTTTCTATGTGTGGTAATTGTGCTTGTTCATCTTCAAAATATTGTCATTTGTTATGCTTTACTGACGTCATGAAATTATTTCTAAAGTTTTTCTGTGTCACCGATTGTCTTAATCTACATATTGACCTCAATAATTTTATCTCTTTATTTGAATCACTTAGATTGTACTTTAATAATTTTAAAAACATATTTATGTTATGCATATATGAAATATTACTTTTTTGTTTAGTGTATGCGAAGCCTTACATGAATTATCTTTTAGAATGTGCTGAAAAATATTTAGGTAATAAATCTAACATTTTAATTAAAATATCAATTTTGGGTGATTACGAGGAGTGGGAATAATGAAATACAGAAGCTTTATTACTGTACCCAATACTTTTAATTTAGATTATTGCAGTACATCACGTATATAATATATTTCTTTAATGGATTTACGTTTTCATTTTATAAAAAAAAATCCGCAAAAATAATAACGAAAAACATTTTTTTTTTTGTTTTTATTAAAATAATATACTCTTATATAAATGAAAATGTACATTTATAAATCAATTAATGGTAATAACTATTTACTGAAAACAGAGAACCGCTACGGATTTGACAAATGTTTAAGCCATTATTGTATGTTTCCAAAAGGAGGAAAACAATCAAATACGCAGCCAGATGGTGTACAGCAGATTGACAAATTATCTGGTAAACGTTTTATTAATCGTATGCATATAATAATGTCTAGAAACATATTTTTCTTTTCAAATCCGTTTTAAAAAAAAAAGGTTCTTATTTAAAAACAAAAATATTATCTAATTTTAAATTGTAATATTTTTTATTTTATTGTTGAAAATTTGATAGTTAATGGTAAAGGTTTCATTAATGTTTCGAAATTTTTTATTTAAAAATACTCAATGATTACCAAAGAAGGCATTTTTTAATAATTATTTGCAAGTGAGTGCAGATATTTCCAAGGTTCATTATTAATGTTTTAAATTTATAACATGAGAGTAGACTTAAAGTTTGAAAATAAATTTGTTTTTTTTAATATTGTTCATATTATTATCCGACAAATTGAAAAAAACAATATATATTTTTGAGTTGTTATAATTGTATATAAGGGTGAA